TATTGTATTTTAACTAAATTACATTTAGATTTTTAACTAATTTTAATTATACGTTGAGTACTTAATAATTTTAACGTTTTATATATTAATTTAATAGTAATCATCTTTAGTAATTTTCATCAGTGCTCGTTGAGCGTGACAGACTACTCCTCTTACAAATTAAAGAAAAAAATAAAACTAAAATATCAAGATGAAACACTATATTAAGATTTATGATTTGAATCTTAATATTAAAAATAAAATAAATTCAGTTAAAAATATCATTATCATATTTGATCTCTAAAATTCTTAATTAAAATTATTCAATTAGTTTATTACATATAAATAATTATAAAAAATGAATTATACATGCTAATAAATATATTTTACAACAAAATATCATTATATTACAGAATAGAAAGGATAAGTCGAACAAACCATTTCAACATCATAAAAAGCAAAGGAATTTCCAGTTTTTAATCCCAACACCAAATATTGTGACCTAAAGTCCAACACCTTTCCTCTTTTATTTCCATTCCCAACCCCTAATTATCATACCCACAAGCTAATTAATTTAAAGAAAATATTTGTTGGATTTTCTGAGAGGCTTAAATACAATTATTACTACTTTTACAACACCATCTTATCTTATTTTCTGAAAACTCTTACATGGTTTATTTATTTAGTATTACAAAGATTTATCTAAAACACAATTAAATGTTAGCTTTGTTTGTTTAATTCTCATCTTTGACTTTGACTCCCCTTATTACTCCCATTCTCTCACTCTCCAGTTCGCTTCGTCTATGTACACAGCATTGCAGTGTTATCAATTTCATTCGATGATGGAATCCACGCGGTAAGAAAAGACTGGGTTTATGATCAAGAGATAAAAAAAGGGGGGAAATCTTTTACATGAAAATGAAAATGAAAATGAAAATGAAAATGAAAATGAAATGTAAAAGGTAAGGAAACGAAAGAATGATGAGGTGGTGAAAAGGGGGAAATGCTTAAGGGAACAAGAAGAAACCTTGGATCCAAAAAGTTAAAAGCTTTTTTATTTATTTTCTCTTACTTTCTCGCTTCCCAAACACAACTTTTCCTCTCCCCTGCTTAGTACTAGACTAGTAGCGTTCTTCTACCTGTCCTTCACACGAATTCCATCACGCTCAAAGCAAAGAAAGGCGAAAAGAACCAACTTTTCTTGGGGAGTTTGGTTGAAAATTTGAGGTTTAGGCCAATGGGAGCTCGTTGCTCCAAACTATCACTTTGCTGGTGGCCGTCAAATCTCAAGTCAAAACTCAACGACTCTTCCGATCTCGGTTAGTTGGTTGACTTATTTCCATCACTTTCTCGAGAAAATAGTCTTCAAATTTGTTTCCTTTTTTGTTTCATAAATTTTAAATTTTATTTGGTTCTGTTCACATCAGAGAATGGAGAGGAAGCTTTACCTGGATTCAGCGAGTACAGCTTGGACCAATTAAGAGCTGCCACTTCAGGTTTCTCGACGGACAACATTGTATCGGAGCATGGAGAAAGCTCCCAATGTAGTGTACCGAGGAAGCTCGACGAGGATCGTTTGTTCGCCGTTAAACGTTTCAATAGATCGGCTTGGCCTGACCCTCGACAGCTCCTCGTATATATAAATATATTACTTTCCATTTTTTACTGCAATTTATTTTGATATTTCTTTTTTGATTGATTTGTAACTATCGTTTTCTCTTCATTTTGGCGTCATTCCAGGAGGAAGCGAGAGCAGTTGGACAGTTAAGAAGCGATCGGTTAGCAAATTTGATTGGTTGTTGCTGTGACGGAGATGAGAGATTGTTAGTAGCTGAGTTTATGCCTAATGAGACTCTCTCTAATCTTTTCACTGTAATTTTCACTATTTTCATCTAGTTTATACTTGGATTTGATTATAGTCTAGCAAATAAGTATCAGTCTCATAGAGTCTTCATTTCCTTCAATATACTGCTAATGGAAATCTTTTGTATCTTACTAATTATGCTATTGTTTTGTACTCTGTTGAAATGGTGTAGGGGAGTATCAGCATATGAAATGGCCGATGAGGCTGAGGGTGGCACTATATCTAGCGCAGGCACTTGAATATTGCAGCAGTAAAGGGAGGGCTTTGTATCACGATCTTAATGCTTATAGAATCCTGTTTGATCAGGTAATTTTATTCTTTATACCATCCGTATTCGAACCTTACATCATATGTTCGCATTTAGATTCGTATTTAATTGCTTACAGCAATGGGTTACTTCTTGACAGGATGGTAATCCCAGACTCTCTAGCCAGAGTATCTAAGGACAGGTAAAATACTGTGCAAAGTTTATGGGAACTCTTGTAATTGCAACTGTCAGTATATTATAAGATATGCGTACTTATTTGTGCAAAGTATGTGCATTTAACTTTGGGTACGTTTTTCCTCGTGAAACATGTATTGTTCATTGGCTGAGCTAATTTATACGCATTAACATGGCAGGAAGGGTTTCCCGGAGAGTGTGGTTACAGTTTTGGAACTCTTTGCTTGATCTTCTCAGTGGCAAGCATATACCACCAAGCCATGTGAGTTCTCGTGTCTCTCCGATTAAGGCGAAAGTTTGCTTGAAATCTTCCTTCATAAGAATTTAATAAACTATTAAAATTGTAGATATCTGCAGTGCATCATAGTATATATCCACAGGAGATAATTAAATGCTTAAATGTGGACTATCATCGTTGCAGGCATTGGACCTAATACAGGGTAAAAACTTTCTGATGCTAATGGACTCAAACCTGGTGGGTCAGTTTTCAAATGATGATGGACTGAACTAGTGCGGTTAGCCTCACGCTGTTTGCAGTATGAAGCTGAGAGGCCAAATGTGAAGTCTCTTGTAACTGCTCTTACCCCTCTTCAGAAGGAAACCGAGGTATACTCGCATATTCTCCGCTTTCTTCTCTAATTCTTTTCTTCAACCTTTATTCTAGAAAGTCCACACCAAAATACTAGTGCCTTCACGTGAAACCAAACTAGACCCTGTTAGTCCAAGTGTTCTCTTTTAGCTTGGTGAACAATGGATTTGCTGTGACTGATAAGACCATCTTTGTAATTTTGTATGGAAATTAGGAATAGCTTGAAGCCTTTTATGACAGTGATAAAAAAATATGAACTTTTCTTTAAGGCTTTGAAACATTGAGTGCAGTACTGATATATTTTTCTGTGAACAGTTTGCTACCTTTTAACTTGTATTATTTTAACAGGTACCATCACATGTTTTGATGGGCATTCCCCTCGGAATAGCCGTCAAAGCAAACAATGTTACTAACACCTCTAGGTGAAGCATGCTCAAGAATGGATCTTACTGCAATACATGAAATATTAGAAATATTGGATACAAAGATGATGAGGGATTGCAAATGAGGTCAGCAATCTATACAGTTTATGTTACATATAATATAAAATCAAAAGAAAGCCTTAACCTTGCTTTGGGGTTGAACAAAGCTAGCTGATAGGATCGTTGGTTGCATTTCGAAAAGTTAATGAGTCTGTAAAACATGTACTACTGAATGCTGCTTCATCGTTCAAACCCTGATATAAGCACAGAAATGCTTAGCATTATCAAATTGTTTAAGCGAATTGTCACATGGATCCTCTTTTGAAATTCCTTATGCTAACGGGTATTGAATTTTGCTGTTTCTAGCTTTCTTTCCAAATGTGGACAGATCAAAATACAGGAGACTCTGAATTCCAAAAACGTGGAGATACTGCTTTCCGGGCAAAAGACTTTGGAACAGCCATTGAATGCTACACGGACGTAAGCCTTCTATTTACAATTTGGCAACCTGCAACAAAATTCCACAGTACCTCGAGATTAAATTTCAACCCATGATGCTTATAAGTTTAATGATGTGCCTTGCTATAGTTCATGAGGGGGGACAATGATATCTCCAACTGTTTGCTAGACGCTGCTTGTGCTACTTGATGAATGATGGCACAAGAAGCACTCGGAGATGCTATGCAAGCACAGGTATATCTCCGGAGTGGCCGACGGCATTCTATCTCCAAGCTGCCGCCCTGTTTAGCCTTGGGATGGACACGATGCACAGGAAATCCTGAAAGACGGTACAAACTTGGAATCCAAAAAACATAGAAACTGAAATTCTATAGCCTTTTTATTGGGTCCTTTGAGTTCATCTTGTATCTTCCCGTCATATTTCCACCTTCCCATGTTATCTCAGCACCACCGTAATTGTAACGCCCCAAGTGTGCTTACGGTGTTGTCGTCTTTTATTCACTCATTTCTGAACACTATTTTAATGATAACAACAATGAATGTTTCATTTTTTTTCTTCTGCCTCGTATAATTCTACTGTTTAACTGAACATTAATTGTATTTTTTACAGGGAATGTCGATTCTTTTTTTTTTTTAAAAACCCATAATTTAAAATTTAGTACATTGTTGATGAAATCAATTAACCAAGAATATCCCCAGCACCAAAACCTTTATGTTCGGTAAGAAATACAGAACTGCGACAAACACTGTATCAGAACAAAATGTAAAACAAAAAAACATCAAAAACATCTACAGTCCACCTTCAGCAACCGGCACCAGCCATGCTTTTACATGTAAAAATAATATAGAATGGTGAATGGCAGTATATTACATCGGAGGCTGACCGGCAGCACTAAGCATCTGGCCAATCATACTATTCACCTACAGAAGTAAGAAAGGTTGTATGCATAACAATCAAGTTTCAGCCAACTAATAAAATAAAATCAAAGAAACTCATAATCCCAAATCAAGACGCGGGTAGTAGTTTGACTCAAATTGAAGAGATGATTTACAAGAACTTTTAGCAAAGTATGTAGGACTAGGACCAGAAAAACACCATGTGTTGTATACAGCTTGTAAATAATAACTCTGGTCAATTAAGATAGAACGAGGATGCATTATATATAGTTAGTACAAAGACAAGCTTACTTCGATAATACACACACATGTATATATGTACATGAATACTTTGAAACCTTACCTGCCATATTTTGAAACACAGCGGTCAATGCAACTATTTTCACCCATGTTTAGCTCAGCTTCCTTGTACCTAAAGCAGAAAGATATTATCATTGGCACCATTTCCATGGGGAAAAAGCATTGTATAGTGTATATAATGTATATCACTTAAGTAGATTGACAGACATACAAGAAGGTGGGATAGAGGCAGTTCATACCTTTTGTCAACGCAATTGTTGAAACATGTTTGTGCAAGCCTGAATGAAAATCATAAAACAAAATGAACTCGAGAGCTTGAGTAATGGATTTACTCTGTGATTAAAATTGAATAAAACATGCCAGTCCTGCTTAAATGAAGTCTGGGGCTAAATTTGTAAATTGGATTTACTCTATGCTAAAACTGAAATTGTTTTAGAGAGCTTTAGAAAATTGTCACCTTTTCTGCTAGGGTAAACGATTCTCTCACAAATGAATTTGTTTCTCCCGAAGATTGAGACACGATCCATTATCTCTCTTTTATTCATGGGATTATCGACATTATTTCGCAAGGCTCAACAAAATAGTGTATTAAAGGTATGTGTGCTTGTCAGGTGAGTCTTCGTGTCTCACACTTACTATTTACCGATGATAATTTGGTTTCTTAAAAATTTGTCTAAAGCCAACATATAAAAGAGATCTTGAATATCTCTGTCTCTGCTTCTGGGCAGGGCCGGCCCTAGGCATAGGCCAGGGGCGACTGCCTAGGGCCCAAATTTAGAGGACTCATTTTAAATTATTTTAAGTTTAATAATTAAAAATATTTTTAAACATATTTTTTTTTTTTTAAATACTTGAAAATATGGTAATTTAATGGGCTCCAATAATTAAAAAATATTTTTAAACATCATTTTTTATTTTAAAAAACTCAAAAATATAATAATTAGTGGGGCCCCATTTTAATGATGGAAAAATCTAGGTATGAGCTCTCACTTGTCTTCTTGTCATCACCTTCTGACCTAGTGTCCTTAAAATATCAGGACCGGGCCTGCTTCTGGGCAGAGAGTTAGATAAATTTATCATATATTTCAATCCAACATGATAAGGTCATTATCATGGGATTCCGTTGCATATTGGAAAGAATAAAACACCTTTGGTTATATACGTGATAAGGTTACGGCTCGAGTTACATGTTGGACCAAGTCTTTACTATCCTATGGGGTAGACAGGTCGTCCTTAAATTTGTGGCACAAGTTTTACTTCAGTATGAGATGGCATGCTATCTATTCCCTAAACATCTGTTTGATGAAATGACTGCTATCATGTGTCGATATTGGTGGACAGGAAAAATGTCTGCATGGGTTGGCCTATGAAAACTTGGTCAACTTTTTGTAAGCCTAAGTGTCGAGGAGGCTTTGGTTACGTGATTTTCGATCCTTAAGTATGACCCTACTTGGGAAGCAGGTTTGGCGCATAGCAAAACGCCTTGCTAGTTTGCTCTCTAGTGTTCTTCGGACGAAATATCCAGATTGGAATTTACCGAATGCTCGTATTGGTAATAATAGTTCATATAGCTGGAAAGGAATTTATGAGGCGATACAAGCCTTTTCAGGTGCGTTTTACCGGATGATACGTACGGAGAGTAGGATAAATCTGGTTTCTAATAAGTGTGGTGACTCAAATATGGTTAATTTATCTAGAGACTACTCGCACATGTCCATACAAAGCTTCTGTGGTTCGAGCTTTATGATTGCAGATCAGCCATTGTGGGATGAGGAGAAGGTCCGTACGACATTTACAATATTCAATATAGAACAAATTCTTGATACGTTTATCGCTCCAAGTGCTATGGAGCCCATTATTTGGAGTAACCACGATTCCCGTCAATTCAGTTCGTTCTGGTATTGGTGGTTGCAATGACTTATTTACACTATAAAGGCTGCCTCAAAGGTCTGGAAAGCCATGTCGAGCTTCAAACGCTCCCTAAGTTCAGGTTATTTGCATAGAGGAATGGCACACGGTGGATTGCCAGTTGGCTATTGGCTTCGAGCAGCAGGTTTAGGGAATGGAATTTACCCGATGTGTCAAAGAGAAGAGGAGATTGTGGTTCATATTCTTCGTAATTACTCGTATGCACAGGAAGCATTTACCTCTACAGGTTTAAGTGAAACTTTCCTCACTAGCCAATTACTTTCTCCTTTTAATTGGCTTGAGGCAGCATTGGTTTCTCTTGATCCCGACAGTTTTGTAAATTTTATTATGCTTATTTGGAATATATTATATGGGCAAAATGCGATGATACATGAAGGACGTATGCAACCACCTTGGGTGGTGGTAGCGAATGCTAAGACGTTCCAACAAGATTTCTTGCAGGCTCGGTGTAATCTTCAGGCACAGAGTAGTCCAGGTGCTGGGTAAATGCCTTATTTTTTTCAGGCCTTCAACAACTACTTGGAAGCCCCCCGATTGAGGTTGTGAAGATTAATGTTGATGGTGCTTTTGACTCAAACAAACATCTTGCGGCTGTTGGAGTCATTGCGGGGATTTTGCTAGCTTTGTCCTTGGTAGGGTTGCACATAATTCGGATTTCAATCCGATCCGGATCGGTTTTTATCCGATCCGGTTTTTTCCCATAGAAAAAACCGGTTTATAAAATAACCGGTTCGGTTTCTAACCGGTTTTGGAGGGCCGGATATCCTAACCGTGTAACCGGTTTCGGTTTTAAAAAAACCGGTTTTTTTAAAAAACCGGTTATAAAAAATCGATTTTAATATTCAAGATTGCTCATAGGGAACCGATTCCCCCCCAAGGGGTACCGATTCCTCACTGAATGGTTTGGCTCCGAGATTTCCAGAATGCTCGGAGGGAACCGATTCCCCCATAGGGTACCGATTCCCCCTATTCACGGTCGAAATTTGAATTTTACACTTAGGGAACCGATTCCCTATGAGAGGGTACTGATTCCCCCACGCTCTAAGCATTTTATTAAATGTTTTCACACTTAAACGGCTATATTATCTTCATTAATTATCACTAACGTTCAGAAGTGATTCAAGGTGTATTTAAGCAAGCTTAGAAGTCATTGATCAAAGACAAGAAACAAGCAACTAGAATCAAGAGAGAATCAAGAGAAAGCATCAAACCTCAAGTATAAATTCAAATACTTAATTGAAATACTTAATTAACTCAACATAATTGAAATACTTAAATACTTCCAAGTTTGATAAATTCAAATACTTAAAAACTTCCAAGTTCGATAAATTCAATACTTAAAAACTTCAAGTTCGATAATTGAAACAAAGTTACGATAATTGAAATAAAGTTATAAAATAAACTACATTGCCATCTCTTCTTCATCATCTTCGCCTTCTTCGTTGGAGGGGATATTCCAAGTTCGACTTCTTCAATGTGTAAGTTTGCTTCCAAATCGGCATCAATTGCATCTTCTAGGGTGGTGATATGTTGCTTACGAGCCGCTCCATCCAAATAATCCTTTAAACAATGCATACTTCCACCGACTCGGGACTTAGTCTTGATCCCGTTGTGATATAACCCTGCCACTAACAGAAAAAGCGGATTCCGAAGCTACCGTAGAAGCTTGGACGGTTAGTAAATCACGGGCCATGGCGGCTAGAATCGGAAATTGTGCTTCCTTTTCTTTCCACCAAGCCAAATATCCAAACTTTCAAACTCTTCAAATGTCATTTTGATAGAAAATCGCATGACATGTAATTTCCCAACTCGCTACTTGGGTGGTAGTACGTGATCGTTTGGATTGGGAATTTACAAGAGTTTAAAAGATTCAAATTTATGTTACTTGGACGTCTACTAGATGATTCCGCATTCATTCTCATTTGATCGTGTATTACACTACTTGATCCGTATTAGTTAAATTGCAAACATGTCTCGAAAACATTTGTTAAAATAATTTATTTGGTTTTGGACAAAGTTGGGTTCATCATCGGTTAGATTAAAAGCAAACGCAATTTGTTCAATTAGTTTTCAACCCCACCAACATTTAACGTTGGGTTTAAAGCGGCGGCACAAGTAAAAATGGGGGGAATCTCCTTAAAATATTTTAAAAGTTTTTCCTTCATTGCAAAGCCAATTTCTTGAAAAACTTCGGTTCAAATTCAAAGTCATTTAGTCGGGTAGCCAACAAAAATATTTGATTAAGAACCAACGGGCTAGTAGGGTAATAAACACCGGATAAAAAAGTTGTTGCATTTTTAAAAACCTCAAGCAAATCGGTTATTTTGGCTATAGTTTCCCAACTCGAATCCGGATAAATGTCTGAGACATGACCCCTCTCGAAAGCCGATCGTGAAATGTTTGCAATGTTTCCCTTTGCCTTAAGGCAGTATGCATCATCATCCAAGTTGAGTTCCAACGAGTTGGACAATCCAAATTAGGACCCAAAGCTTTTTTATTAACAGACTTACAAAATCGTTTATAATCATTAGTCTTTGTGTTGTTACAAAGAATCGATTTTATCATTGTTTTAAATTCTAATCTGGCTCAATAACCTCCAAACCGGCTTGCACGGATAAATTAATTATGTGTGCAACGCAATGGGTATGAAAAAACGCACCGTCTAAAATCGGTGAAGTAATATTTCAATCTTGGAACCGCGTTTGTATTATTCGATGCATTATCAAAGGATATAGAAAAAACTTTATTTTCTAATAAAGACAAATTACCCGTTTAAAAGTGTAAATAAATTAGCACCGGTATGGGGCTCACCGAATAATTCAAACGCGATTGTTCTTTTCATCATTTGCCAATTATCTTGATCTAACCAATGTGACGTAACGGCTAAAAAAAATTCCGGTATTATGAGGGGAACTCCAAACGTCACATGTAAGCGACACCATAACGGTGTTCTTGGAATCCTAAAATCATTTTTCCCTCGCCGTACGCCACATTTTTATAGCATCTCTTCTAAGGGTAGTACGACTTACTTGAGTATAACGTGGTTGCATTAGTTGTTGAATTGTTGTCGTGAATCTTCATCATCAAAGTGGTCGAACGGCAATGCTTTTGTAATCACGAAACTTTGTAAACTTATCGTAATTTTTCGTTGTCGTAAACAAAAACACCACCTTGCGGTGTAAGATTCGATTGACTAGGATCCGATCTTGAGCGAAGTGCCTTGCATGATTTTGTCAAATGGTTCTTCAACGTTGTGTTTCCTTCCGATGCAAGAAACTTTAGACAAAGTTTACAACGCCCTCCTCGAGCCATTTGACATCTCACATAAATCGTAGTGATCCCAAATCTTTGTTTCGAGTGTGTTCGATCACTCTCACGACTTCAAGGTTTCCCCCGACGGAA